TTTCCCTACCCTAAAACACCCAATAACCTGGTGGTCTGTGAGCTTATATAAGAAACCCAGGTTCAGGTCCCAAAACCCTGATTCATGCCAGAGAGTTGAATCTAGTGAGTGCACGGAGGTGGCCTGAAGCAGCGTAAGAGTGGTGAGAGAAAGCCACACACATTGTTCAGTGGTCATGTTACCCTGCCGTGAGGACGTCGGCACTGCGCAGTGGCAGTGGGTGATGAGGAGGAGGAAAGCGATGAATAGGGTACAGCTTGGGCAGCAGGGACTATTCCCTGCAACGACCATCTCCCTGTTTGAAAGCAGGTAATTTTCTGTGACCTCCATACTGCTTTATAGTAATGATCCTCAGGCACTAAATTTTTGTATCAGGGTATGCCCTGAATTTCTGTAATGAAAAGGGGAAGACAAGGCCTCTGTGACTTCTCTGTCCCTGAACAGTATCAAATCTGTGTTGAGTGCCCATGGAGGGGAAATGGGTCACAGCTAATCAGTCCTGGGGTACTGAAAGCCTGGAGGAAGTTGGCTCATGGACAAAGGAACTAGAACCACCTTGTGCTCCTGGTAATACATCTGCTACCATCTCGCCTGCAGAATTCAAAGCAAATGAAAAAGCTAAATGGAAGCAGAGGCATAAGTAGGAACAGTGGGGTAACTGAGGGACAGTTCAACCAGGGCAGAGGCTCCAGGCACCACCTGTGTGGGAGGGTACAAAAGCACCTACTGCAATAGTGGCGGCTGAGTGTACCACTGTAATCAGCACAACGGCAGCCAGCACTGTCCCGTGCAACGAGGCTGCCCCAGGGGTGGGGCTGCCCTGCTGTGTGTCTGATTTTTAGCAAGTTTTGCACCGTAAGCAAAATGCTGCTGGGCAGGGGGAGCTGAGTCCTAGTCAAAACCCTGCCAGGGAGCAAGGGGGTTTGCCAAATGCTGGAGAACAGTGGGCTGGAGGGAGTCAGTGTTACTTGCTCCAGGGCTTCAAAGTCCATGGCTGCTCCTGGCAGAGTAGTCTGTCTGGGTCTGGTTGTAGCTACTGCTGCACCGGGTTGCTGCTGTCCTAGTTGTAGTGCATGGCTGCTGCTGCTGCAGTCCCACAGGTCCCCCAGGGAGCCATCGCTCTAGCACCCATGTTTGGCGCCCCTCTTGTCCACCCCAAATTACGCTTCTTTGTGGTGGAGGAGGTGAACAGAGCCAAAGGTACTGGAATGGGAAAATCTCCAGACAGTGCATACCCCCGTCCTCCACCAGCAGAAATGCTCTATTGTGAATAACTATAACTTCAGAAAGCCCCGCTCCACTCACCTTCCTTTGGGTGGGAGTGGGCAAACAATGGGGCCCTCTGAAGCTGCAGCCTACTGGATAGAGTGCTCTCCAAGGTCTCAGGGGAATTGGTTTCTCTCCCTTGTTTTGCTGCTGACATTGGGCAAGTTATATTATATCTCTCTGTACCTCAGCCTTACATCTGTAAAATGGGGATAAGGACCTCTGTTGACAGCAAATTAGTCAGCTTATAGCACTGCATGATGGCAGCTCCATGAACTAAAACCAGAAGTAGACTACTTCCAACTCTGCAGGTTTCAGTGGAGTGTCCTAGACTGTTTTCCAGGCTTTAATCCTAGGAAATTTGGGCTTCACTTACAGAGGCCCTGGTATGTTTGATCTGAGGATATTGACCTGCTCTATCTGGAGTTCAGTACTAGGTTCATCACTGCAATCTGTGACCCATCTGCCTGCTAGCTGGGCAGAGCAGCTAGCAGTAGTGATGCATTAACAGAGCCATGGATTACTTAAGGCAGTAGTGACTTTTTTGGTCCTGTGAAGCTGTGCTGCCTCATGCCTGGTGCAGCCTGCTTCCTCCCAGTGCTCAGGAGGTGCAGTGTGTGCTGCATGCTGGTGTGCTGCATTGGAGCAACTGCAGAGGGGACCCAGCACATAATCAGCAAGGCCCCAATGTCTTTAAAGCAATGGTAGTGTAAGAGTGATGGAGCCATGGTGGTCCAAAAAATCATGCAAGAGCCAAGGATTTCTAAAGTAATGGGCAGGCAGAGGTATGGATCTGGAATTCTGCTGGTTGGAGAGCAAGGAGTGCCTGGAGGGTGGAGAGACCCCTGTTGTCTCTGTGACAGTGGCCCTGTCCCAGCCTCTCCTCTCCCAACAGGCTGAAGAGTATTTATTCCAGTGTCTCTGAGTCATGCCCTGCTTTCTGCCCTTGTGGCTCCCTGATGTGTCCTGATGTTGCCCACTTGTGTCCCAATCCAGTGCTAGCTCAGGGGGTCAGCAGTCTCTTCACTTTCCCAAGGATTGCTGTATCTGTTTGAGCCACCAACACTTCTTGATGGGTTGCTGTTGAATGTCCAGAGTCGGTTGTACTCATCCTGCCTTCCTAAGGAGGGGGTGGGAGTTTCAGTGTGTTGACTAGGGAAAGGCTGAAGGCAAGAACACAAAGCCATTTTGTGTGAGATTTGGCAATCTTTCCCACAGCCAGAGGTCTCCCACAGGCAGTGGCCTGATAGCACACTGTGAGTAAGGAACAGCTTGGAGCCAGAGTGGGTCAGG